TCAGCAGGCTTTTTATATTGAAGAGGATGCCTGGTCAGCAGGCTACTACTACATATTTGTTTCAAGTCAATTCATTTTTCAAATGTTTATGAAGATCTGATGACAGAAAAATATCACAGATCACATATACAATACAGTGGAACCTCGGGTTACGAACGCTTCTGTAAACAAACTTTTCGGGTTACGACCAGCTCCGGCTGCAAAATTTTGCGTCGGTTTGCGAACTCTGCCTCGGGGTACGAACAGGATACGTGGCCATTTTCCCTGCTGACATGCGGTCGCGGCTTCCTGTGGGCGAGATCGCGGTAGCAAGGAGATGTTCGGTGAGGCTTGTGGTGTGGTTCATGGCGTTTTTGAAGGTTTTTGGTGTGCTTGTTAGCATGGCTCCAAAGAAACTGCAGAGCAGGCTTGGCAAGAATAAGGCTTTGAAGAAAATACTAACGATCGAATTGAAGAAGGAAATTATAGAAAAGCACACACAGTATTTGTGTGACTGATCTGGGCTCGGAGTACAAGATGGCGAAGTCGACCATCTCAACTATTCTGAAGAATAAAGATGCCATCAGAGGAGCTGATGTGGCAGAAGGAGTAACGATGTTAACCAAGCAGAGGATGCAAGTGCTGGAAGAGGTGGAAAAGCTGTTGTTAGTGTGGCTGAATGGGAAACAGCTGGCAGGTGATAGCGTTAGTGAGGCTATGATCTGTGACAAAGCCAGGAAACTGCATAGTGATTTACTGCGGAAAAACCCCTCTACCAGCGCAGCAAGTGAGGAATTTAAAGCCAGCAGAGGCTGGTTTGAGAAATTCCGCAAAAGAAGTGGCATCCACAGCGTGGCAAGACATGGTGAGGCTTCCAGTTCTGACAAGGCTGCTGCAGAAGCCTACAAGACAGAATTTGAGGAATTCATGAAGGCGGAAGGATACGTTGCTCAGCAAGTGTTCAACTGCGACGAGATAGGGCTCTTCTGGAAGAAGATGCCGAACAAAACCTACATCACGCAGGAGGAAAAGGTACTGCCAGGGCACAAGCCCATGAAGGACAGATTGACCCTTTTGCTGTGTGCGAACGCAAGCGGCGACCTGAAGATTAAGCCGCTACTGGTGTACCATTCCCAGAGCCCTCGTGTGTTCAAGGCGCACAATGTGAACAAGGCCAGACTGCCTGTCATGTGGAGGGCCAATGTGAGAGCTTGGGTCACAAGGCAGTTGTTCATGGAATGGCTGCACGAGGGATTCGCACCCAGCATTACAAAATACCTGTCTGACAACCAGCTGCCTGAAAGGTGCCTTCTTCTGATGGACAATGCCCTGGCACACTCTCCAGCCTTGGTGGATGATATGGACGCTGAGTACGACTTCATAAAGGTCAAGTTCCTCCCCTCCCAACACCTCTTCTGCAGCCCATGGACCAGCAAGTGATCTGCAACTTTAAGAAGGTCTACACAAAGGCGCTCTTCACCAGGTGTTTCAATGTCACTGAGGAAACATCCTTGACTCTGAAAGAATTCTGGAAGAAACATTTCAATGTCCTCCACTGCATCAGCCTCATTGACAAAGCCTGGGAAGATGTCACCTGCCGGACCTTAAACTCAGCCTGGAGGAAACTGTGGCCAGAATGTGTCGCTGAACGTGACTTTGAAGGGTCTGATGCAGAGGTAGTGGAGGAGATTGTGTCCATGTGCAAGAGCATGGGTCTGGTTGTCAATGATGCAGACATAGAGGAGCTTGTTGAGGACCATAAGGAGGAGCTGACCACAGAAGAACTTGCTGAGCTCCAGAGTGAGCAATAGAAGGCGCTTGGTGAGGAGCATCCCACTGAGGAAGAGGAGGAAGGGGAGGAGGTGAGCAGTGATGCGATAAAATCCATCATGGCGAAATGGAACGAGTGCCA